TTTTAAAGAGAGTAGTAAAAAAAAGAACAATAGCAAAATACCAATATCATAGACATAAAACAAAGCAAGAACATTAAAAATTATACAGGGTTCAAAACAAAATGACAGGAATTAACAGTGGTTATTATATTACATATTGTTATCTTCAACTAAGTTGCTCAGATTACCAGATGTAAAAATGGAAGATTGTTCAAACCATTAAAGAAAAATTTTAAAATTATTAAATAAAACATTAGATACAATACAGAGTTTCACTAGACAAGATGGTAAGAATTCAGCAATAGTTGTTCTATTGTATATTGTTATGTTCCAATCAGTTGTTCAGATTACCAGATACAAGCTCATATGTAAAATTACATCATTAGGCTACATAAACATACTCAGATCTACACATACCTGGTCACCTGATAGGTAATGTATTGGCACCATAATTAGGAAAGGTAGATCTAGGTAAGTTGAATAACTTTATGTTTAAAAATAAAGAAACTTGATTTTTGTCTCATAGAATACATAAATACCCAGCGAATTATAGATTTCAAGATAAAAGTTGAAACAATAAAGCCTCTAAATATGAAATAGTGGAACATCTTTATGTAGAAGATTCCTTATACAGAGCAAAATACAGAGCAAAAGCAGTACTTAATTAAAAGGGAAAAGATTGATAAATTCATCTACATAAAATTCAGAAATTCATCCAAAGATACCAACAAAGGAGTGAGCACACAAGTCACAGAATGGAAGATCTTGCAGCACATATAAAGGAAGGGCTCAGAATGTACAAATGACTTCTACACATACATAATAAAAAGGATGACAACAGAGGAGAAAAATGGGCAAAACACTTGAAGAGACACTTCATGAAAAGAGATCACCCCAAATGACTAATAAACATATAATGAGATATGCAAATTAAAACCAATAAATGCCTATGAAACTTGCCTATGAAAGTTAATCATCTTTTTTGAGAAATAGAAATTTTGTACTTAATAAATGCTTCCTTTTTTAGCCTCCTCCTATTGAACAAATAATAAGTAACTGTTATGAACAATCACATTGATAATAGTTCCCGAATAATGACCAAAAAGGAGGCTCTGCACCGAAAAGCCTTGTGGTATTTAATGAGATTTCCTGCACTGCTAGCTCCCATTTCTCCTCTTTTTTGGGTCACATGTGTTTATTAGCATATGCAGGCTCTTCTGCTTGTGAGAAGAGGCAGAGATGGGCTAGGGTGGTGGGAATGGTGATGCACTGGACAGGAAAGCATCCCTTCCAGCCACTTTCTGGCCAATTTCTGCAATGCTGGAATGCAAGATGAAGTCTCTGATATTCTCTAAATGCATATGATTTAAACATGTCTCTTTCTTCTCTAATCTCAAGTAGTCCTGAGTGATACCTTAACCTCCAGGGATAGGAGATGCTGTGGTTTACCTCTAGATGTACCCCAGGAGCCTCATGTACCCATAGGCAGGACCTTTAGGAGACAGGATCTGGTTGGAAGAGAGGTCACTGAGTGTTTGCTCTAGATGTTGTATCACCAGCTCCATCTCCTTCTGTTTTTCTCTCTGCTTCCTAACTGATTTGATATGAGCAACCTTCCTCTGCACCAGGCCCTACCCCATGTCATTTCTGCCCTGGAGCCAGCAGACTGTGGACTGAAACCTCCATAATAGATGAGTCCAAATAAAATTCTCCTTACAGTGTGGGTCTCAGTCAGGTATTGTGTCCCAGCAACAAGGAAAGCAGCTAAGACAGGGGAGACCCCGTACTAGTGGGCCTGTGTTTCATACCACTCAGAACACATTGTTCTCTATACTCGCTAGTGAGAAACCCCAATGCCACAGCGAATTATGCTCCTTTGTTCTTAAGGTACAGCTGGAAAAGCAAGCTGCCTACAGAGCAGGTAAGAAGTTGATATTTGCTGTTCTCATGTTCATAGACTGACTTTGGTCTCCTGTTTTGACAAAAACTGTTCATTTCCACCAAGAAATTGACTTTCTGTCCCCAGCAAGCTGTAATCCTCCATTTTTCTAGCGCTGACCCTTTTGATAATAGTAACTAATTCTTATTTCAAAGTACTTTTCACATTTTCGATGAAACATGTCTCTTTCAAATTATTTCTTCTAGTGAAAACTTTTCCCATTATTCATATAAATACAGAAGTATGTATAAACCATTAATCCAATACTTATTTGTCGACATGAGGTATTGTGTAAATGACCTTGAATCATGCTCTAAACTCTTTTTTTTTTTTTTTTTTTTTGGTTTTTCTCCGGTACCGGGAACCGAACTCACGACCTTGCACTTGCCAGGCAGGCGCTTTTGCCGCTGAGCTAAATCCCCAGCCCTAAACTCTTAGATCTTTACCACATGATTCATCTCAACTGCTAAAGACTAAGTCTCCATTTTGTCCTTCTTCCCATTTCATTTGCTTTCTTTGTTCACAAATAAGGTTTGCAAATCTTCTCGGTTTGCTTCCAGTGGCCTTTCCAACTCCCAAGATACCTGAGTAGCATAGCAGTTAACAGCTTTTGCTCTGAAGGTAGACTCTGTGGGTACAACTCTTCAGTTTGCTAACTTCATCTTTCCAAATAATAAGAGGCCTTCTTCTCATCTACACAGCATTGTTGTGAGGATTGAGTCAACACACAGAACACAGCTAAGCCAAATGTTTTGTGTCCTCAGTAGATACCATGAAAGCGTGAACCAAGCAGTCACGGCCTGGCTTTGTCTGTTCTGATTCAGATGGTGATAGCAAACATTACAAATTTGGAAGCCCTAGATTTTAGGAGCACCTGCCCCCTTTCCTCAGAGAATGTGTTCTACTTATACAAGGTCTGTAGCATATTGGGAAGAACACAGAGACATGGTGTCTCCAGGATGCGAGGGTCACACCACCACCATGTGACTATTTGACTTTAGGTAAATCAGTCACTCTGACCATAATTTTCTAAATTTGTTTTATTTTTTCCAAGATGGTGTCAGGATCAAATATGTTAATTTATGTGAACATACTTCAAAAATTGTAGAACTCTACATAAGTGTAATGATTATTATTAATTCTTTTGCTCTTGAGAAACATATGTCAGAAATATTTTTTATTGAAATAAGACATTTATCCAAATGGAAAATATCTAGCCGTAAGTATCAAACAGAGGAAATATTTTGAGTAAGGATGATCCAGGTTCCTATAGGCAAATATATTTTAATATTAATGAGAGCAATAATGTGGGCATATAATTATATAAAACGTAATTGTGAGAGAAATTGGACCTAGGTGATTCAAAAGTATCTAGGAAAGGTAAGACTTCTTAAAAGGATTGCTTTAGAAATTGTAGTAGAGTTAAACTTCTTAAATTTCATTGAAGCTATTCAGAGGACATGTTATGGGCTGAGTCCCTCAGAAGCAGGAATTGAGCCAGAAGTTGGTGTATAGGATTTTTAGCTCACTCACTGATATCAAGGCCTGACAAAGGAAAGAGGAGACAACAGCATTGATATAGAAAGAATCCTGACTGGGCCTTGTCCAGCTTTCTGAGGAGCTCTGGACTAAACCTGGCCTGCAGAGCATCCTGGGTCTGAACATGATGACCCTGCCTTGCTTAGCCTCTAGTGCAGCTGCCCAGGGAAGGTGCTGAGGTCACCCATGAAGTAGCTCACAGATGCAGGCTACTCACTGACCACACACCTACGGCTGTGCAGCATGTCCTTCTTTGAAAGAAGATTTGAGTGGCATCTCTACATCTACTATAAGCCATAGACCAGGGACAAGGAAAGAGTCAGTGAGCTGGGGGTGGTAGTGCATACCTGTAATCCAAGCTAGGACAAGAGAATTGCAAGTTTGAGGCCAGCTTGGGCAACTTAGCAGTAAAAAGTATTCTGAAGATATAGCACAGTGTAGAGACCTTGGGTTCAATTCCTAGTACAATCAATTGATCAACCAACCAACCAATCAACCAATCAACCAATCAACCAACCAAAAACTCCTAAGTAGAAGTTTTCAGGACAGTGTTAGAAAACAGAGTGGACAATAAGCATTCCTGGACAAGAACCAACAGAAAAGATTATGTTTATCTTTATCCAGGAGTTGCTAAAATCTATAGGAAACTTATTCCACTCGGTGAAACAATACGTATTTAGAAAGGAAAAGAGATTCAACTTTTGTATTAATTAACTACTTTGACATTCTTATATAAAACTCAAATGTTGTGTAACAATGGAAAGACCTATAAAAAAATAAGGTTTTAATCACTTTTATAAAAACTGTGATATCAATTTGATATGGAAACTACTATAAGTTTCTTGTTATAGCTAACATAAACAATCTCTTTAAAAACAGAAACAATATAATCATACTTAAATAGTCAAAATATATTTTTAAAGAAAAGCAAGGGGATAGATTTCAAAATTTAGTTTAATACTTAAATTTCATAAGGTTTCATAGGCATGAAAAGAATGAATAATTTATCATGTATTATAAGAAATTAATTTTTGCTATGAAAATTTACCAACATAAATAATCAGCAGTGTCAGAGAAAAATTACTCTAGTACATTAATATTAGATTTAAAAAATAAATGCAAACATATGTTTAATTGTGCATTTTAAATGTCCAGGAACTTGACAGTATTAACAGGCCAAGTTTTATGGAACTGAATAAGCTCCTGGCATGTGGAATTTTTTTTTTTTTTTTTTTTTTTTTTTTGGTTTTTTTCTCCGGTACCGGGAACCGAACTCACGACCTTGCGCTTACCAGGCAGACGCTTTTGCCGCTGAGCTAAATCCCCAGCCCCGGCATGTGGAATTTTATTTTGCTGTCAACTAGACTTTCTTAACTTAGATTTTCTTTTCATGCCCATTTTTAAAGGCTATTTAATTTGCTCAGTGACTATTTCAGAGGTTAGTCCGAAATGATCTCCACAATCAACCCATATAGGCTGTGTTAAGGAAATTATCTACCAAAGAGAACCAGGCAGGTTAAATTGATCCAAATAATTTACTTACAGACTAGTCCTGAGCAGGGAGATTCAGAAGAATCCCCAGATGTTTCCTGAAGAGTTGGAATCCTTTGCTTCTTTTGCTTGTTGTCTACTGTAGTGTCAATGACATTGTCAGAAAGGAGCGACATGGAAGAGAAAGCAAAGGACATTGAGGTCAAGCCTGGAGTGTAGCTCAGTGTGACTGGATTCACCTCAGAAGTGACTCAGTAGCTAGGTAGACCTGAGCTGGTCATTTGCTCTTGAGCTATTTTTCCAAATAGATTGCTCACACCCACTGAACAGGATCATCACGGCTGTGATGATGGTCCAGAAATGAAATCCACATGTAAGTGCATGGCAGCCTGCTCAGTTTTATTCACGTGTCATCACTGAACCATTTTCCTTGGACATGCCAATCCCTCCTGCATCCTCTGCTACGCTAGAATTTCACACGTCTGATAGTAAGCAGGTACTGTCTCACTCTGGCTTGGCAGTGATTGGCAGGCAAAGACTTGGGTGATGATGGCCCTGATGTGGCCTTCTGACAGGTGTCTGAGGACTCAACTATCCCTAGTATCCCTGAGCTCAGTGTGCCAGCCCACAGTGCATTGTGGGCACAGTGATTGACTGATGTTCTGTCTTGGGTAACACGTGAATTACTGCACTATTAAGTAAATTCTCCAAGAAAATGCCATTTCAAACCATTAACATAATAGCTAGAGTGATTCTATTACAGGTAACTCATTATTACAAAATTTATGTCGATCAAATGGTGAAATGCTTGAAATGGGATGATTCCATCAAACACGCTGGCTTCACATTGCTCAGCTTTCATCAGAGTTTCTGGGGTTGTATTTTTGGCTACTGCAACTCTGAGTCTATTTGGAGAGGTACTTCAATTTGGATAATTAAAAAATACATTCTAGGGGCTGGGGATTTAGCTCAGTGGCAAAGCGCCTGCCTGGCAAGCGCAAGGTCGTGAGTTCGGTTCCCGGTACCGGAGAAAAACCAAAAAAAAACAAAACAAAACAAAAATACATTGTAGTCTTCAAACCTCTTGTCTTTTACATTCCTTGCGAAATTACAGATAGATGGAATTATCCTTTATCTTTATCTTGAAAATCTGAGTGGGCAGAGGTCCCAATGTACTTTTCATGAATAGGTTGGAGCATTGTCCACAGAGAGTGCTCTCACTTGCTTCCTGTCCGACTGGGGCACATTGTGTTGCGCTGTGCTCACTCTGTGGTGAGGCCAGCAGAAGGCACAGAATCTGCTCTCCTCCTCCAGTCTCTCACTGTGTCTGGTTGCCTCATTTGCCGGCTTCCATTTGTTTTTGAGAATAGTTTGATTTGCCCTCAATTTGCTCCTTGGTGGCCTGGAGACACCAGCTGAGTCACTCTTCGGTGACCACTCCCTACAGACCAGACTGTGATCAAGAGCACAGGTTGTAGAGAATGGATATTGCCTGCACAACCTCACTCCTCCTGTCGCTGTCTTGTTCCTTTGGCAAGTCCTCAGCCTCTCTGAATGTCTTCTAAAGTTGGTAACAATTAAATGAACTCAAGCCTGAGCAGTGCATGGCACATCGCAAACAGTAAAAAATAGGTCAGATTTTGGCTTTAGTCTTGCTAACTGAAAGAACATGTTGTTAGATGTTGTTTCTTTAATCTATGTTTTGTTCTCCCAAAGTACATCAATCATAGTTCCAGGAAGCATGACTAAGGAGTACGTAATCTTACTACTCTGGCTGGTATGTGTGCTTCAAAACCCCAGATATTGTTGTTCTGGTGAAACTTCTCATAAAACAAGCTTTACTTTAGCTAGCTGAATTGATTTTTTTCACCTTTGAGAACAGAAATGCTTTAGGATCAGTTCTATAGCATTTACGAATATAGTTATAAAATATATGAAAAATATAGTAGACATTCTATGCAAACCCATTTTTCCTTTTTAAATATTTTCTCTTTTGTTTCTTTCTGTCTCCCCCTCCCTCATTCTCTCCCTCCCCTTCTTTCTTCCTTTTTCATTCCTATTTTGTTTTTAACTGATACGGAATGAGGCAAGAATCTGTAGGTACAAAATCCTACCCTGCCCTCCCCTCGCTCCTTTCCTTCTTTCCTTCCTTCCTCTCTTCCATCCTTTCTTCCTCTCTTCCTTCCTCTCTTCCATCCTTTCTTCCTCCCTTCCTTCCTGCCTTCCTTCCTTCCTTCCTTGTGTTTAATTGATACAGAATGAGGCCAGAATCTGTAGATAACAAATCATTACATAGCTATAGGTAACCACCCCTGCCCCTGGAACATTTGGCAATGTCTGGAGACCTTTTGGGCTGTCACCACTGAGAAAGGCGTTAGCCCCTGGCATCAGGTGTGTCAAAACCAGGGATGCCGCTGAACATGCTACAATGCCCAGACTTCAGTAGCACAATGCTGAGACTGGAAAAGCAAGCTGTCACCTAGGTGTGACATACTCAACTCTGACTCTAGGGACAGGACTTTCACTTCCTATGAGGCTGCTGTGTCCAGCTGTACTCTGTCTATGCTGATTCTAAAGGGTAGTATTCCTCTAAATTACTTCATAGTCTAAATACAAATAAACTTAGTGTCAAATTTCAGACTGTGACTGCAAATGCCTTGCCCTTCACACTGAGTTGTGGGCCTGGCTGTTTTCCATTGGGTTTTGATAAACTAAGGAAGAAAAACTGGCTTACCCAATGTTGGAAAACATGCTCCGCCAGATCAGCCAGGTGGTGATCAGGGAGCAGGCCCTGTGAAGGAGGCTAAGTCTGGCTGTGCAGAGATAAACAATTCTGAAAGTTATTTCCACAACCAACAAACTGTAATTTAATTCTGCATTTTAAGGAAATTCTAAAAGCCTCCATCAGCTTTAAAAGATGTCATCCTTTGAGTTTATAGGTACTAGCTGATTTTTTGTTACAGTGGAAATGAATCCTTAACTTCAAGAATAGAAACAAGTTTTCAAATCTTTAATAAAACAATTACAAAAGATGTCTAATATCATTGTGGGAAAATAGTATTCCATTGTGTCAGTGTGGTTCCAGACATATAGCAGAATTTTTTAGTACTATTTAGTAATTTTAAGCTGAGGGAGTCATTCTTACTGAAAGCAAGAAAAATGGAATGAAAACAGGTCAAGCCAAAAAAGCATCATGTAGTAATGTAGCTCAAATTCAATCTTACTGTGGGGATGCTATGATGTTGGTGATGTAGAATGCATAGTTTCACTGTTATTACAACATTCTGGCTAAAACCTGATCCTTGCCAGGGTTGTAATGAGTTTCCGGTCATTAGTGGAACTGATAAATAAATAAGACAACTGCTCAGTGCTGCAGCACACGTGTGAGGAAGCCATATGCCTTTTAGTGCTTAGCTTCTATGTGTTTCAGAAGCCACATTTGGCCACATGTGGCTGTGTGAGATTCCTCTCAACCCAGCCCCATCTGCTGAAAGCCTCGCAGACTGTGGAAAAGCTCTGCCTGCTCAGCTTCTCACTGATACAGGCTGTGCTAAGCATGCTTGCATGCATGACCTCTGACATGTGCAGTGGTGTTACTGCCTCTTGTCTTAGCATAAGTAACTGAGAGTTAGAGGGAGGAGAGGGGGAAATGAATCTAGTGTCCCATAGCTAATAAGTTACAATAGGGTTTGAAACTTAGGTCTTGTACCAAAGTGTGCGTTCCTAGGTCCCCGTACTGCCTCATTACCACTGAGTGTACCTAGGCAAGACCCTATTTGGGAATCTGAAATTCAGAATACATCATGCTAAATCACCGTCTTGTTACTTACTTCTGATGATATTCTCAGGATGTATTAATGCATATGATATGAACATGACCTGTGTGTACAGTTTTATAGCCATAAGATCCTATCTTGCCTTTCTCCTGTGATCATGGTGTTTTCTTCTTCTTATCATGTCTTACTGCCTTTCCATGGCAGGTTCAATGAGGCTGGCATTCAGCAAGTATGCAGGGCCCTGGCCATGTTGCTCACTGTTGGATTATTTGGTGCCCTGACAGTGAATGGTTTTTAAGCAAATTCAATGTATTTATTATTTTACATTAATTCTTTTGACTCTACCCCCAAGTTTTGTGTCCAGTGATAAGCTTTTTAAAAAATCAGTCCAGGAGATTTCTTTATATGTCAGGAATGCTGTCACTTTTCCATCCATATCATAAGGAGTATAAATATTTCCCCATTTATCATTTCTCTTTTGCTGTGCTTTGAATGGTTTTCCATGCCAAGTGTTCATTTAGTCAATTACTAGTGGTTTTAACTTTCTGCCTACACAGGAATTTCTTTGTCAACATTAATTATTAACTTTACTTATGCATCTTACATTCTGATAATTTTAACAATTTTATTATTTTAAACATTATTTCTTTGATTTTCCTAAGTAGCTGTGTTAAGAAATATTAAAAACTAACCTCTTTTACTATTGTCATTATTAGTTTTTCTAACATAATTTATCAAATCATGTAATATTTCAATAATTTGAAATGTCTCATAACCTGAATTCACACATGATTTTGTGTCTGAAACTTGAGGACCTCTCTCTGGACTTGAATTTCTTTTTCATTACTGATTTTGTGCCAGGCACAGCATTTAATTAGTGTAATTCTACACTGTAAAATCTGATTGGAAAAGCCTCTTCATTGCTATATCTTTATGCATTGCTATATCTTCTGTAACATTTTTTTTCTCTGCCATTCCATAATTATTCTTCTTTCACGACAAATTAAATGAGTGTTTTCCAATGATCAGCAGCAGAGAGAGGGCCCCTTGAATGACCTGGTTCATTTCCTAATGGGGGGGTCGCTAAGGCTATACTAAACCGCATTTCAATATGGTGTCAGTTTTAACTTACAAGGATCAGATTTTCAACATGTTTGTCAACTGAGAAAAATTGTTTTGATAGTTTTTGTCCTAAAATTACAGATTTGTGTCTCTATAAGCTATTTAAATGTATCATTTCTTTTTTTCCCTATGCATAGGAACACAAGCAAACTAAGTCAGAGGAAGAGTTCTCTTTGGGTTTGAGGTGAGCTAGTCCACATTATAAGCTACTGCTTTGGCTTGACCTTGAGTCCCCTCCAAA